CGTAATGGAAGTTTAATTTGACTTTTGCCTTCGGATCTGCATTTTTCTTCGAGGCCAACAATTTCTCATTTCCTTGCCTTGACTTTCGACGGAATTGTGTCAATTTATATAGTCGTACTCCCCCATCGGGGGACATCCCAGGCTATTATTTCTTTTCTAATAAAAAAAAAGGACTCTCTCTCGGTTGCAGTTCTGCTGCCTTTGCATTCTGTGATTTTTCATTGTGCCAGCCAGCCAGTCAGCTAGTCACTCACACACTCAAACACTCGCACCCACATTGAAGGTCCTTCAGCTCCCTCTTGTGTGATATTGAGTGCACTTTGTCAAAAGTTATTTTGCAACATTTGCTATTATGCGCTCGATAACAATTTTATAACATTTTTCCTTCGGCAGGGGCAGGGGCAGGGCCAGCAGCCTGCCCCATTCACAGCCTCATGAACCGTCCTTGCCCCAAACTCGGTCTTTTTTTTTGTGCTTCTTGCGTTTCGCAATTTATTGTGTTACATATATTATTATTGTGTACTGAAAAATGCATTTTTCATGACATAACAACGACCCGTTTGGCATTGGCAGTCCTCCCATATACATACATACATACATATATATTTATTTATATATATTCCCATATACCATATTACACGTCTGCCCGATCTACCCGGCAGCGGGAAAAGTTTTTGGGTTGAAAAATGGTTCTTGGCCCGGGCTCTGACCTGCTCCTGCTCCTGCTCCACTCCAATCCACTCCAGGACATGCGTATAAATTGTTTGCGACAGTAATTGGAACACAATGTTAAAGCATGAAATTTTAATTTGATTTTCGATCGGGCTCTTCGAGTTTATTCAGGCTCTTTTTCAGATAAAAAACACCAACAAGGTGGCTCTCAACGAAGTTGAGATGAAAGTCGTTAAGCGAAACAGAGAATAAATATTTTCAGCAATTTATTGATAGTTTGTGATAGAATGGAGTCTCTCTTGTGGCGGTGGACTTGTCAGCCGTTAGCTGTTGACTGCAATTTATAGAGCTGATTGTTTTTGAACGCTTTTTTGGCTTCTGTCTGTGGCCTTCTTGGGCCATCCAGACCATATGCCAGCGCCCTTTGTGGCTTCATATATGGAAAGCGGAGAACTCGCCCCATTCCTTCTAATCGAATCGGTTTCCAAGTAACCCAGCAACCCAAATGGCAGCATGCCAGTCACCTGCTTGGCCATTGTCTTGACTTGGCCTGTCTGCCGACTTGACCCGGCCATTGTTTGGCTTAAAGCTGGCCTTTAAATTCAACCAGGCCTGTGCACAAGCCCCAGTTCTATTAATCACAAATCCCATTCTGAATGGGAGTTTACTGTAAGCTAGGATAGGAATATCAATCAAATGTTTTGGGGAATACATCAGGCATGCTTATCGATTTCTATGAAAACCCAAACAACACATCCTTCGGTTCAAAAAATTCGATTAAAATTCAGTCCAAAGCGGAAGCCAATAGCAGCGCTTATAAAAGCCGGCGGAAACAATAAAACCCAAAACAGTAGCACCAAAATTCGCATCATTAATTTTTTGCAACACGAATTTATCGCTATGATTATACAGAAGAAGAGACAGCGGAGAATAGACTACGGAGGAGCTACCAGAATAGACGGAGACCTACGGAGAACAAAGCGAATAGAGGGAAAATGGGGAAAGGCATTTCCAACTTTTCCTAGTTCCAAACGTGGGGGCTCGTTTTTTCGCCTACCAATCATTATTCAATATGTTGACTTTTGTGCTTTCCACATTTGTTTCGCTCCAAGCCACATAAGTCATGTGGCAAGGGTGCTGTGGGGACACAGGGGCGTGCAGAAGACAAAGAAAAATTTGTTCAAGTGGCTTGGGGGGCGGGGGAGGGCACAGCGCGTCGATGTGGAAATTGTGATAGTAAAGGGGGTTGGGCTTTGGCAAATGGTGTTGCCCCGACCTCAGACACCCAACTCCTACTATACAGCCAACACCCGCATGGCCCAACAATGAACTGTGCGGCAACACTGTCGAAGTTGTTTAACTTTGCATTTGTCGCCTTCCCTGAAGGACAGTGAGAGAATCGAGAGTGCACCCACCATCCTCTAAAGATAAAATATCAAGGATATTCTGCCAGTGTATCCTAGACCTTCAGCTCGCATTTCAGCCAAAGCTGGAGCTTAGTGTTGCCTTTGATTAAGGCCACATAGAAGTGTCAGCTGGGCCAATGTTTTCGAATGGCTAATGGCGTTGTAAGAGAGCCAGGTGTTGATTTTCTGATGGCCAAATCGGATCAATGGGTTAAACTTTAAAGCATGCCGTGTTATTGATATTAAATCCATCATAAATCGGGTTTAATCTACGATAATGGGAGCGCATTAGATGTACTATTTGCCCATGGAAAATGCAATTAAAAGTTGCGAAATTAAAAGCAAATAAAAGGACCGAAAAATTTAATTACGCACATTAATTCAGCGTTGGCGGAGAATGAAATATTAAGACTATTCAGCCTCGGCTCTGTTTATCTTTTATTTATTTTTGTTTTCAATTTTATTTTTTCCGCTTTTCCCACTGGCCTGGCAGCAGCTTTTCCATTTGCAATCAATAAAGCGACCGCAAATGGATGGAAAAGCAGATTCATTGTTTCAACCACCCACTTGCCTGCCCACAGGAGGTGTCAATTATTTTGGCCACCTTGTCAATGAAGCGGATTTTCAAGTCAGTAAAAATTGAAGCTGCAAATGAACTTGCCAATAAATGGCTTAGCTTGGTTTTGTAAATTTAATTTGCATTTGGCCAACTGGTTTCGCCCCATCCTAGTCCTCATCCTGGCCCTGTCCTTGCCCCCGTTCTGCTGCTGTTTTGCGGTTAACCAAAATTGTTCGTATGCAACACATTGCTGCTGCTGCTAGTGCTGCTTTACAAAGCTCAACGAAATGAATTCGTCTGAATTTTTCAGCATCCACCCGCACAACACACCCCCCGACTGGGATGGGTCTAACTATTTCCAGGGATCGTTTGCATTGTTGCGGTAAATTGGTAAAATTTACATACCATTGGCTTTTATTGTTTATGTATCAGCAGCCATCATCATGATTTTCCCAATGATGGCTTTAAAATAGTAACAGCACAATGGCCAATAGTAGTTGTGCTTTCAGCCTAATTGGTTTGTTTGCAGATACTTTTAAAAATAATGTAATGACTTAACTGCCCGCACAGACAGGTTATAAGATTTAAGTAATTGTTTGCCCACTTTAAAGCCCATAAACCATGGCCCACTTCACTTTCTGACCATAAATAATAGACCGGGGCTGCTCTTAAGTGTTTCGCTTGGGAAACGTGCGAGAAATGCGAAGAACTCGTGGCTGCCACCTCTTGACAGCACCTGCCGCTAATGGTCGAGTTTCCTGCCATATGTCTGATTTATTTGATTCTGAAAAGTCGGCTATTTCGCGGCACAAGCAGTCTGGAAAGTTCGCCATCGACGGCTTCTAAGGGGTCAACCTTAGAGCTTCTGTCAACATACACAATCGGCTTGTAATAGTTTGTCACTTTGGTTTTCTTCGCTTTGTTTCGATGCCGTTGTTGCTGTTGCTGTTGCATAACGACAGCTGTGCGACATGTCATGGGATCCCATTGGCATGGAGTGGCAGCAACAGTAGCAACAGCAACAACACGGAATAGGTGGGGCATGGCTGGGCCGGCGACATGCAGAGTCACATATTGATGATGTGCGTCAAATGTCGATGTTGCTGCTGTCAATTTTGTGGGCCACAATGCCAGGGGGTTGCCGCACACCACACCACACCACCCCCTAGTTGCAACACCAGCTAGTCAGTGTATTCACCCCCAGTGTATGGCAGCGGTTACTTCATTTATGTTGCTTAGTTGACCCCAGTGGTTGTTGGCGCTGTTGCAGATGTTGCTTTTGTTGGCTGTGTTGGAGTTGAGCTTGTTTGACAAATTGATCGCGTGATATGTTTGCCCAATGCTGTCATTGTTGTTTCTGCTGTCTGAGTGCTGGCCACATAGTTGCCGTTGCAGGTTCGACAACAATTGGCGTTGCAACATTACATTGCGATTTAACATCCACTGAAAGATTTGGATGAACTAACTCGATTTTTACGGAGAAATAGGACCTCTTCCAAGTCATTATTTTTCCCTGTGTTCGTCCTCTAGAATGTTTTCGAAAAATAGCTATTCCAAAATTCCAATTCGTTGTAAATCGAAACCTCTGTGTCCTGGTCATTCGCAAATTGGTAAGCTCTTGTTGGGCAACGACGGAATCTGCTATTTCCCAGCCTTGCCACTGACTTTAGACTTGGGCTTACTGGCCATGGTCCTTTGGCAGAAGGATTTCACATGCATAATCAAGGCCCAGTGGCCGAGGACAACGGGGGAGCTGCACCACGGGATTGTGACAGTTATGAGAAGGAGCTCCGTCCTGGCAACGTCAATTCGTTAACAGCTACGTCAGCTTTGCTGCTAATTTTGTTTGCCCTGTGTCGTCACCCACACACGGGCCGGTTGCATATACATAGTGTTTGAGAAAAGTATGCGCACGCTTTGTGTGGTCCGAGTGGTGGTCCAGGATTCACTCCTGCTCCTAACGCCCTCTTGGCCATCTCTGTTGCTGCCTCTCGTTGGGTAGCTTTGTTTGCCGTGCACTCCAAACACTGCAGACAAAATGCTGTCGAAAATGTAGCCGGCTGATGTCTCTATCCTCGCTCTCCAGTCTCTGGTCTCCAGCAGGAATCCAGAGTCCTGAATCCCTCATCCTTCATCCTCCATCCAACATGCTGCATTCTACATCCTACTATGTATGCTTCGCCCAGTTAATCCGCCTTGCGTTATGCAACAAAGTTTTTGTGGAAAATTAATTAATTTCATGTGCAAACAGTTGTTAGATTTTTCCGTCTGGCCAAAAAAGGTTAAGGTAGCTAGGCTACCGTTTAATTGGATTAAAACATTTTTCCACACTCGATGCTAATTAAACCATCCTTTTTTTCCAGGACCTCCACTCAAAGCACCCAAAAGCCCCGAAAAACCAACAAAAAAAAGTAAATAAAAGTACCCATGTGCCAATCTGAAAGCTGAGCGGTTTCGGAAGGAATATTGCCGCACAGGAAAATCCAAATACCAACGAATTTCTGGACAAGTGATGAAGTCATGAGACCGACATTCGATCGACGCCTCTGGATATTATTGTTCATTATTTCAGTACAATGTAAGTAGCAAAAAAACTATTGAAAATAAGAAGGAAAAAAGCTTACTGGCATATGTTTTTTATGCTATTCTCCGGCTGACTGGGTGTGTGTGAGCTGGATTTAGAAATGAATGGGCCAAGTGGCCTCAGCAGGCCAAGCAGCTCATATATTGCCGGGCCGGGCCGGGCCGAGAGAGAATGGACCACTTTGTATGCCGGCAACGTGTGAAAAATAGTTCACAGATAATCGCAGTCAGGCAGGTCACATTATTTATGCGCCAGCACACAATCCTCATCCTTGGACGCCTTCGGTTCCTTGGGCATCCTTCCTTCTTCGTAGCCCCGTCCCCTTATCAGCTTGATATTCTATGCCACATGCAGCAAACAAAGCCATTTCTTTTATTTGATGTGCGTTTCGGGGAAGAAAGCTGACCCTGGGCGTTCTCTGGCCCCTCAACAAGGTCTGCATATCAATAGCTATCCCAAAAATGCTCTGCCCTTCTCTCCAAGGGCAGACTTTTATTTCTAATGCAATGAGTAATATGCGATTGTCAATGTCTATTAGGAACATGTGGCGTATGAGTAATATTCGGACACTGATGAGTTTCTGTGCAAATTAAGTCACATTCTTGTGATGAAATCTCAGTGAATGGCTTGTATTAGCTGTGTCTACAGGGCGTATGAGTAATCTTATGAGTAAGATCCTAGCTGGCACGACGGATAATCAAAATCTAGTGTATAACGGGACCATTTTACAAATGCCATTGAATAGCTCTTGTCATCGATACGATTTTTATTGAGTATTTGCCATGACACACAACTTTATTCAACCCGAGGTCACTGCAAGGTTGCAATCTGTAGTGCAAACTCGCAACCAGAGCGAAGTGGAAATTCAAGCACCATCGCTCCCTTGCAGGAGCCAAGTAAATGCCGGGCATATTCCCCAACGCACACACTGGCACACACTCTCACACTGACACACTCACACACAGGGAGAGTGAAACGGAAACGGAAATGCGCGTTCAAGAATTTGAATCTGCATGCGCAATTTCGCGTGTGAGCTGTATGCCAAAAATGGCGCGCACATGTCGGCCAACTGGCGACTGTGGCACCATACCCCTCACCGCCGACCCGCCCGTAGCCCGCCGGCTTTCGTTCAACCACATGCCCCACTGTGGTGCGCCTTGGAATTTCACGCGTTTATTTGCAAAGATTACGAAATGCGACCGGTTCCCGCTAAAGTTTTGTATGCGTTTCCTGCGAACTGCCGGCAGTGCCTTTTCCTTCTTGTCTGCCCGTGTCTGTGCGTGGGTTTTCCACTTCCCCCGTCCCCCCCCTCTCTATCCTATTGCTTTTTTATCCTTTTCGTCCTGTTTGCTTGTCCGTCCGCCTGTTCGCTTCGCTGACTTGTTATGCATGCAAAAGTCTGTGGCAAATACACAGACCAGGCTTCAACCCCGCAGATGGGAGTGACATGCAAAATATTTTTGCATAAAAATGTTTGCCCACCAACACGAGGAACCAAAGGACCCAGGGAGGGGAGACCTGGCACTGAGTCCTTGCCGCATTCTGGCAGCTGCATCTTCCCCCCAATTTGATGTGTTTTTGTGCGGAGTGCGGAGTATGGAGTCCGGAGTGGAGAAACGTTAAATTTTAAAGCATTTCAATTTCGAATTTTTGACACACGCAAGTTGAGCATGAAATTTTCTAGATATATATTTTAGGTATTCCTCCTGTGTTGGAAAACCCACTCTGTGGCAGTCTCCACCTTGAAGAGAGCCGGGGGAGCCGAAGCAGGATGCCCGAATGTATTTCTTCCTCCATCATCGTCCCAAGGGGATTTAATGTCCGGCATTTTATCTCCTGTATTTAAGCGTGCTGCGTTTGCTACGTGCCGGCCATGTTAAGGACTTTGGACTCCTTTCGATGGCAATGCATAATTCGAGTCGACAGCAGAAGTCGAGCATATTTCATATTTAATAAAGTGGGGTGGTTTTATGGGCGGGAGGGCCCATGATGAAATCCGATGATGATCCGCCACATTCCGCGGATTATTAAAGTGTTTCATGGCCACTTTGTAGGTTATTAGTACGTGTATTACCACTTTTATAATACATCTAGTGTTGCAATAATAAATAACTTATTTTGCACTAAAAATCTGAAGAGTTTTAAAGCCACTTGCCCATGAAGTATCTGTGGTTTGCTCAGCCCTTGGCTTTTGCTGCAATGTCCTGGCTTTTTTCTCTGTGGCTCTTTTTGGTTGTTTAAATTTCTAGGGTTCCAAATTTTTGAAGAACACAGACCGCAACCAATATTTCTTGCTCTACAAATCGCCAGGACAAGTTAGCAGGAGCGGGAGCTGTAGCGGGAGGAGCGGTCCTTGAGCAAAGCAAACTGCAGTCCTGATGATGATGACGGCGATGAAGGAGCCGGGCTGGGAGATTCGAAGCCGGCGACTTAGTTAGCCACTTTTCTTTCATAGAAAATGCGCCTTTTGTGCCTCAAGTGGCGCCCCCGACTCTTGTCTACCCGCTGGCCAACTTCCCAGTACTTCCGATCCCCAGCTCCCACTACCCCTCAGCCATCCTCCTCGGGAGAGAAAGAAAAATAGAGCTGACTGCAAGTTTATTTTAAAACTCGACTTTTGTGCGCTCAAGTTTACTTTTGTGGGGAATTACTTTTCGGTTATTTTTGTGGCCCAGTCATCGCCTTTTCGTCCCTGGTATCTCTTAGCTGATTGTCTTGTTGCTCTGGTGTCGATGGCCCAAACTGCACTGGACGATGATTTTCGGACTAGGGACTAAGGACTCCGTCGCGGAGTTTATTATGAGATGGGGTGCTGGCGAGCCGCTGCTCTTGCGCAAAATGCAATTATTAAAAGTTCTCCAAGTTGGCCGCTTCTTGTGCATTTATTTTCCTTTCAGCACCGCTTTGTGTCGCACTCTGAAAATTATAGTCAGCGCCATTTTGCTGTCCATAGTTTTCGTCTTAACCTTCTCTAGTTTCTCTAGATCTTTTTTTTCCGCCCTGTGTGTTAAACATGGCATAGTAAATGTAGTCCATTGAAAAGTTTTCGCCATGAAGTTCTGCCACTAACTTTTCGTTAAAGACGTGCTGGAAAAATTCTAGCCATGCAGCCTTAAAGAGACTCGTTTGTGCAACTTTTTTGTGTGTTGTTTTAGCCGGAAATGTGGACGGCTCGCGAAACGAGAGCCCAAAAATACCGAAAAAGCGGAAACGCAGCTAACAATAAAAGCCGAAAAGGGCAGAAAACGCGAGCTTCCGTTTAAAATTTCCTAACGTTTCAAGCTGTTCCTCTTCTCCTACTCGTTTCTACCCATTTCCCTGACTAGAATGGGAAACTTTCCCATTTCACCGCCACCGTCGAACTTCGCACACACATGCCTCTCACGCTTTTTGGGGCCATCGTGTGGTCGACCTCCTCCATGGCCACTTCCTGTCCAGACCGACAAAAATTGGCCGCACACTAAATTGCACACCTGGGAATTAATGCGCCGGCCGCTCGAAAGGCGTTTTCCGAAACGGAGCCAAATGGTTGCCAGTTGCAACAACGACCCTAGTGAAGGTGTGAAAGCCGTAAGCGTTGCAACCTGCAGTCGCAGACAAATGCAAAGTCAAATGCTTCTCGGCCCGGCCAAAGCGGCTGCCAGTTGTTGGTCTGGAGGCCTGCGGGCTTCGTCTTCTTTTGGCCCCAACACCGGACAGTGGGCCAACAAAGTTTTGGCTGGAATTACTTTGGATTTAGGGCATACTGGACGGCTTTATAAAGTCAAAGGGAGAAAAAAAGTGCGAGGAATATATTTTCTTATATTTTTTCAATATCCTTAAACTTTTAAGTCGGGAAATATTTATATTAAGAAAAACGTTCTCGAAATCCTTTTGACTTTCTGATTTATTTGTTGTACTTTTAAGAATTTCCATACAAAACAAACATGAACGGCTACTTTATTGACCAACTGTGTCATGTAAAATTCCTTTTCGGGCTCAGACAAAGTTGCCTTTGCCATCCGGCCGGCTCGTCGTCCTTTTAGCTCCAGACCCGGCCTGGTCTCGCCACCGTAAAAGCAAGTGAAAATAAATTAAGTGGAAGTAAGTCGTAACGAAGTGATACATAATTCTTTGTATTTTTTTGCCTTTCTTCTTTTCGGGGCTTGTCTTTCGCAAGGATGCCTTCTTGTGGCGCCTCTGTGCCTTTGTGTGCCCCAACAATTGAGTGCAGCTTGGGTAGCAGGAGCTGGAATATTGAGTAGCTTTAAGCTAGGGTTTTTTTCCAAAAGGTCTGTTAATTAGCCAGAATGTTAGCTGCCGCAAAGAAATTCCGAGCAAAAATCGTTGAGAACTTTAACCGAAACTCGCAAACTTTCCCCTCTGAAACTTTTTTTTTCTGAAACAAACACAAAAGCCTGGAAAAGTCAGGTGAATTTTCACCCCGAGCTAACGGTAACGGTAACTTAATACACCGTAATTTGGCTTTAATGACCAAGAGGGTGTCCACTTGGCGTCTAAATAGCCTAAATAACTTAATATCAACCTGAAACGCCGTGATTGAGAGCCGAAGAGTTTCGGGATGCCACTGCCGCCGAGTCAGGTTGGGTCCTTTGGCAGCTTATTGCTACTTAACTAATCCAACGATATCATTTTATTACATGGCTCTTGGCGAGGACTTTGCCTGCCAGGACCGCCAGGACATTGGTGAGCTGCAAATTTCACTTTCCATCGAGCTCGGCTTTAACATAGCCCAGTAACCTCTCACCTTCTGCAGAAGCCTGCACCCCCGCATGGTGCTGGTGCCGATGCTGATGCTGCTTTTGCCAACAGCTCTCGGAGGCCATTAACGTGTTTCGTTTCATTTAACTTTTACGCTCTGCTACCGCCCCCCGGAGCCCGGAGTCGTCTCCCCTGGCCCTCGACCTGCCCTTGGTAGGTCTGAGCAATATATATACATCCCGCTATTTAGCACAGGTCCGGGATCCGCAGCCCGGACTCCGTTCTCCGTTATGCCCTCCCTGGTGTATTTTCTGTGAAACTTTTACCTGCTGCACGCTTGACCCAACAAAGGCGGCTGACAGGGAATTGGGAGGGTGGTGCGGTGCGGTGGGTGGTGTGGTGGGTGCCTCGGCGTTAGATGTGACCTTCGGCGCTGACAGCAGCCGTCATTAACCTTTCATGATGAGGGAGCCCCGAGAACAATCAAGCGGAACAGGTGGAACAACGGTGGACGGTAGACGGCAGACGGCAGCCACCCACCGGAAGTTGACAACAACGAAACGGAAAACGGGAAACGGGCAACTGGAAACGTGAACTGGTAACTGGGAACCTGGCACTGGAAACTGTTACCTGGTAACTGGTAGTGTTCTGGCCAAAAGCAAAAATCCAGCCAACAGCCAAAGTGAAACTAAAACTTTTACCAAGTGTTTAAGGCATGTAGTCCCTGTTGTTTGAACTTTGACTGTTTTCCAGCAGCCAGGTAATTTGGCTTTAATGCGTCTGCTTTTCCTGGCTGTGATGATGACCCAGTTTTTAGTTTTCCTCCTCCATACTCCTCCACTTTTTTTTTGAAGGGGACATTTTCGTTTAACTAACCACATGCCACGCCCATGCGACCGCAATATAATTTGGCAACCGCACTGCTTTGCATTTGGCAGTTCTGGCGGGGCGAAAATGTGTTTGCCAAAAACGAATTTGTGCGACAGCACAAATAGCCTAGAATCGGGGCCATCCTATATACATATAGTTATAGGATGCTACATCTATGATGTTTGCAGCAAATAAATGAGCTCAAAACTGCAACATGTTTGTGTGGCCAAGGTTGCAAATAGAAATCTAAAGCTATGCCTTAATATTGTAAAGCTTTTAAGCTGCTATTCGAATGACACACAGGATATGACGGTGCACTGAGGGAAAATTAATAGAGCTCTGTAGTGCAATGTCCGTGGCAAGCCCAAGGCCACACAGACTTGCACTTAGCATCGCATTCGAATGCATTCCTTGCGGGAAAATCAATAACCATTGCATTGTGCCACGTGAATCGTGCAACGTGTGAATCCTGAATGGAGAACGGTGAGTGGTGAGTGGTGGGTGGCAGCATCGTCCTCAAAAACGTCATTCCATCGGGCTAGGACAACTGGCACTACATAATCATAAACGTAATCATGATGAAGCAGCGTCAGTGACGACAATGTCGACTGACTGCCCTCGAGTGTTTTATCCTTGACAAATCCTTGTGCAACAATCAGCAGAAACAGCAACAGCAGCTACGGGAAGGAGCAGAAAAAAAAGCACCGACATTGTGGAAATGTTACAAGAGCAACCGAGAAGGGCTGAGCCGTGGAGGAGGGGCTAGTCTGTCGAGTAGTAGTAGTTGACAATGGCAAATGCGCAGCAAAATGTCTAAATGAGGCCGAGAACTGGTGCCGAGATGAGCCAACTCCGGCCGTTTTCCCACCTAACCACAAATCGAGCCTTCAAGACTATAGCCACCTTGGGGGAGCACGAGCAGGAGCAGGAGGTGCTTGGAGGTCCTGGCATGATGGATGACAATAAACAAGACAAGCGGGCACAATTGTTTGTCGCCCTCTTCCACTCTGTTTCATCATCATCATTGTCTCTCACTCTGTATTTAGCGGATTCTGCTGGCATTTCTCCCCAAGGAACAATAGCCGTCTATCCGGCCTGGCCGGGTCTTTAGCTTCTTGGCCAACTTTAAGATAAGACTTAATATTCTAACAATTTATTTATGAAAGGCACCACCTAAAGTTTAACAAAAAAAATAGTATTTTAGTAGTAATTTTATTTTATTTCTTGTGGCGGCGTTTTCGGGCTTCGATTATGTCTCATCGCAGATGAGGAGTTCCAGGTTCAAGGATTTTAGGGCTTTTAACTCCCTGGCTGGTCATTATCCAGACCCTTGGGCTAGCCCTACTTATCATCCTTGTCTTTCTTAGAGGCTGATAGGTATCTGTCTCTGGTTTCGCTGCCACATCCTTTTCCGCCCTTGCCTTTCTCTTTGTCACACGATCCTCCACCTCCTTTTCTTATCTGCATCGATAGTTTCTCAAGACGATCGGACTCTGCTTTCTTCTCAGCCTGCCCCTGGCATTTCTTCTTGGCTTCTTTTCTTTTTTTCATTTCGTCTGCAGCGCATTTCTTCAGGTACTCGGCTTCTTCGCATTTCGTTTTCATCGCCGACTTGAGGCATTTCTTTATAAACGCTTGGTCTTCGCATTTCGTATTCCGAGAAGCCTGCCCACACTTCTTGTCCTTGTCATCGTCTAGGCACGTCTTGACCTTGGTAGCATCTTCGCACTTCTTTTTCTTCTCAGGGTCTATGCACTTGTTCAAAGCTGCATTCTCGCATTTCTTTTTCTGAGCCTCTTCTTCGCACTTTTTTTTCTGAGCAGCTTCTTCGCACTTCTTTTGTTTAAGAGCCTCTTCGCACTTCTGTCTGAGGTCTTCTTTACCGCACTTCTTTTTTTGAGCAAGCTCTTCACATTTCTTCTTCTGGGCAGCTTCTTCGCACTTCTTCTTTAGGTCGTCTTTGGGAGCTTCACCGCATTTCTTCTCTTTAGGAGCTCCCCCGCATTTATTTTTCTCTGAAGCTCCTCCGCATTTATTTTTTTGAGCAGCTTCTTCGCACTTTTTCTTAAAAGCAGCCTCTTCGCATTTCTTTTTCTGCTCATCTTCTTCGCACTTTTTCTTCTTGGCCGCATCTTCGCATTTCTTTTTCTTAAGAGCTTCTTCGCATTTCTTTTTCTGGAGAGCTTCTTCGCATTTCTTCTTGAGCTCAGCTTCTTCGCATTTCTTCTTGCGTTCGGCCTCCTCGCACTTTTTCCGCTCCTCGGCCTCTTTGGCCTTTCTCTTCCTCTCTTCCTCGTCGCACTTTCTTCGCTGCTCATTGTCTTCCACCGCTTTCTTGCATTTTGCCGCCGTCGCAGCCGCCTCGCACTTTTTTTTCAGATTCGCCTCCTTTGCCTCTGAAGCTTTCTTCTTGCACACCGCCGCCCAGTGATCCTGCTTGCACTTCTCTTGTATTTCCGCCAGGAGCTTCCTCAGCTTGGCCTCTTCCCTTTTCTTCTTCAGCGCCAGCATTTCTTTTTCGTTGGTGCCCACTTCCTCTTCCGCCAGTTGCTTGCAGGTCTTCTTCTTGCCCTCCATCCTGGCCTTTTCCGCCTCCGCCGCAATGGCCGCCGCATTCTGCTTGGCCTCCTTCTGGGCGCAGATCTTCTTCTGGGCGTGCAGGAGGCATCCCTTCTTGATGCCCTTCAGCATGCAGCGGACCAGCTTGTCCACGGCCGGAGGATCGTGGGAGAACTCCTTTTCTATGTTCTTCAGGTCCTTGCATAGCGCCTTGTACTGCCGCTGCTCGCACTGCTTGATCTCAGCGCTCAGCTGGCAAGAAAACTTTAGCTCATCCACAGCCTCGTCGAGGGTTTGGACAGCGTTCTCCTCGGCCTTGGCCTTCGCCTCCGCCTCCTTCTTCTTCATGTCATCCAGGTGCCTTCGCTTTCTGGCCATCCGGCACATGGGCGGTGGGCTGTTGTCGGGCTTGCCGTCTTCCAAGTTGGCACAGTCCTCGCCAGCTTCCTTGCTTAAGAACCTCTGCTGGTTGAGAGCTATTTGAAAGTTAGATGGGTTGGACCGAAGCTTCTGCCAAAACACGGATATCTTTAGTTTACGAAGGACATCGTTCTTTTTCACATGCTTAGGAGGTGTGTTGTGGTGTCTCCTCAAAAAGGACCTTTTGTGACGTTCGTATTGAGAACTGGCACAGGCTTTGCAGAGCAAATGATTCCATCTGGGATGCACTATGTGGTATTGCACAGTTCTTGAGAAGTTCCGCCCTATCGCCGCCATCGTTCCAAACGTAATTTACAAATTTTAAAACATAGAATTTTCATAAAGTTAAGGCTTAGAGATTTGGAAGACAAAAAACAAGTCGGATTTGTTGGGAAATCCGACTGAATGATTTTTCCCTGGCTGTTATATCCGAGCAGGCTTTAAGCCTTCCTGCCTGCCATTGGCCAACACAATAAAGCAATTAAAGTTTCATACGGCCCACGGAGAAATTTCACTTTCTCCTCGGCCCCCATTCCAGGGTCCTTGCCGGGCAATAAAATGAGCATTTCCCGCGCTCCTCCTGCTACACATGTGTGCAATTAAAATGTAAACGTGTCAAACACATGCCAGACTGCTCGGCAGAGCTTTCGCTTAAAAATTAACAGCGACAATGCCGAACAAGTTGCAGAAATTAATGACAACATAAAGGAATTTAAATACGCAATGAGGACGCGCTGGTTGGGGGTGTCCAGGTGGGTGGTGCTCGTAATTGCGGCGCAAGTTTGTTACACCAACCAGAAGGTTACTACATACACTCGTGCAAGTGCGAGTGCGAGTGGCACTGGGTTGCCAGGCAGGCGAGCTGGCAGTGCCACTCGAACTCACCTGTCTGCCGCTGTCTGCTTGGCGGCGCATGAAGTGAAAATTAATTTCTAAATGCGGGAAATTAACAAATTACAAACAACGCAATAAGGGGGAGTGATGGCCTGGAAGGCGGAAGTAGACATGCCATAATTCACCGCACACACACACAGGCACGTGTGGCAGGCAAAGTTCGCAGAGCAACTTCCTTTTAAGGGGGTAGGCGGGTGGGCCGGAGTGAGAAGCAAGGTGTTGAAGCACAGGTGAGGAACATTGTCTTGCCGTTGCCGGGGGGCCTGTGCCCCCAACTTGGCACTCCCGCATACTCCGGCCACACTTCAACTCGCAGCTCGCCCCGCTGACAGTTGACAGGTTTGCTAATTTGAAGCAGCCCGCCGAAAATGAAGTTACCGTCTGTCAGCGTCTTGCCGTGCTGATGACGGCTCCCCCCTCCCACGCCCACTCCCGCTCCCACTCCCACTCAACCCTGCCACACCGTAACCCTTTCCACACACTTGCAACCCTCCACTTCGAATTCGCACCTTTGGTTGCCACAGACGCGCTGCGGTCGCGCTTTTAACATTTAATTAAGTTGTGCTCGATTTTATGTTCGACAAAATTGTTTGTCTGTGCTCCGCCTATTTCGGAGGGGATGTGGCAAGTGGCAAGTAGCAAGTGGCATGTGGAGGGGTGTGCCGGTATTCCCTGTCGTGGTTGCGGCTTTGCTGCGTTGTTGTCATTTCTGAGGTTTGTGCAAAGATTGGAAAATTGTTTTCCAGCCAGCAGGTAAAGTGTGAAGTGTAACGAGAGTTTTTGAATTATAGGTGAAAAGTAGGAAAAGCAGGAAAGGCAGGAAAAGCAAGAAAAGTAGGTAAAGTGGCAACGTCTTCCAAGGAGACAGGACCCTCAAAGGAGCTATTGTTCTTAAGAGCATGCAGACTAACAAAGTGTACTTTTCTTTTTAAAATTTTTTGTTAATTTTCATTTTTGATATGTCTTTTATATGTGTATATACCTTTTTCCAAAAATTTCGGCTTTTTTTTCTTAATATTTGGATCAAAATTTACCCTATTTTGCGTTTAAGTTTCGTGGGGACTGATTGACTCAAGAGTGCCATGTGCTCAAGACTCACCGGCAATGTGCTCACCCGGTTCTGCGGTCCCTCCACCCAATACGTGGGTCTGGCTGTGAGACCTGCTACCGTGCTGGTCAAGTACCAGCCCCGCCATTTCAGCGAGTGCTCGAAGGAGATGAGTGGCGCGGTCTTCAAGAAGAAGCTGGCTGAGAGTCTGCGCAAGAAGAAGGCGGAACAGCAAAAGGAGGAGGCCCAACGAGATGCCATTCGAATGAAGGACATGCTGTTCAGTTGCATCGAGCAGAGGACGAAGGTCTTCAGGAGGAGCCTCGAGAGCATGTCAAAGGAGGAGCAGAAGGCTATGGATGGACTGATGAGCTGCGTGATGATGGCCATCAGGTCGGTCTGCATCAGGAGGGTCCTGCTGAAGTTCTGCAAGGAGCAGATGATGAAGCGCCGCTGCGCCCGGTTGATCAAGGAGAAGAAGATCAAGTGTATAATGGAGCAGTGTGAGGATGAAGAGCAGGTCTCAGGGGAAGAGCAAGGGCAGAAGGAGGAGAAGAGTCCAAACAAGAGTCTTGAAATAGCTTCCCTAAGGGATAACAAGCCCGAGAACGACTGTCAAGTGTGCGAGGCTGCAGAAGAGATGAAAACGTACCTTAAGACAGCAGCCAAGATTTTAGAAAATGAGTTAAACAAGGACATCCAACCACACCGCAAAGACTCTGGCAAGAAATGCAATTCTCAAGAGAATGAAAAAATGACACCCGAAGGAACAAATGAAAGTCAGGAGAAAGAGAAGCTGCCTAAAAATTGCAATGATTCTTCGCCTCCCAGAAGCAAGTATGAGGACAAACTGAAGAGTTGCTTGGATAATGAATGGAGGGACATCTGCAAAGCTCAGAAGTACTTGAGCAGCAAAGAAAAGGAGCAATTTGCGAGAATGGCAGACACCATTCTGGAGAGGTTAAAAAAGTCCTGCCGCAAAAAGGTAATCCAGGAGATGTGTGAGGAATCTTGGGGAGTGATGGAAAAGAGGAAAAATAAACACGATCAAGATAAAGATCAAGACAACAAGAAAAAGAAAGATTGCATAACAAAATTATGGAGAGAAAATGATCCCGAAGCCAAGCTAAGGCAACGGGTTCAAGATCAATGGAATGAAGTCTGCCCCTTTATCAAGGAACTCGCCAAACAGGATGATGTCAACTTTGAAGAAACATCCGTGGAAGTAAAGAAAATGATAAGAGAATGCTGTTTGAAGGAACGGTGGACAGGAAGCCAGGATGAAGAATTAAAAGATGTGACCAAAATAATCAAAAGATGTGCACTCAAAGCTATGAAGAAAAATCAAAAAATAAACAAACTAAAAGAACACGAAATTGAAGAAGGTGCAAGTATCATTGAGAATGCGAAGAGTCAAGCTTTAATGAATACATGTGAGTTGAAGAAGCTAGAAGAAAAAGTCCTTCAAAAGGAAAGTGCAGAGATGAAAGATAATGCAAATCTTCAAATGAAAGTTCAAGAGACAATAAAGACAAAGGATAAGGAAAATCATGAGTTCAAAATTGAAGATCAAAGAAAAGAAGTAAAAAAGAAAGAGCAGCCAGAAGAAAGAGTTACGGAGTTTTCCTCCACTTCCTCCTTATCCAAGGATCTGACGAAGGGAGGTTCCGGTTTTGATTTCTATAAGATTTTAAGAGAAAACTACATTAAAAACACTTTGAAAGAAAAAAAGCGAGAAAAAATTGGGTTGCTCGTTAAATGTGGAAAGCTTATTCTTCAGGAAAAACGTGAAGCTCTTTTCAAGCTATATAATCCGAAGTATTCTTATCCCAAGGTCGATGCCCAAATTTTCATCTATAATTGCAAAAAATTAAACAAAAATTCTGAAGAAGATGATTTTCCCAACAAAAATCTGAAAATAAAACCTAAGAAGAATGAGGAAAACCAATCAAAAAATTCCGAAAAAAGAGAACAGAGTCAAAGAGGACTTACAGGTTCTATTTTTGACTTACAGAAAGGTTCTGAAGATTCTTTAAAAAAGGAAACCAAAAAAGATTCCCAAAAAAGTGAACTATATGAGCTTCGAGAGCCCAGCGAAGAAGTGGCTCTAGAAGATCAGGCGGCTTGTGGAGGAAATAAATTCAAAATAGAGGCTCTTAGGGAACTTTGCAAACAGTATTATAAAAGTAAGGAAGATAAGGAAGTAGCAATGAGAGATAATAGTAATGAAAAAGAGTCCAAATATGAGAAGAATCAAGAAACCCCAAAGTGCGCCAAGGAAAAGAAGATGCAAATAGTTTTCATGTATAATCTGAGAGACCCGAGTAAAGAAGTGTCTTTGGAAGAAAAACTTCAAGAAGCCTCTTGTAAAAATAAAGCTTATGCTTATGCCACAAAAAATGTACGTTCAAATTTTAAAAAATCTTCAAAGAATGAAAGTAAAAAACCTTCAGAAACAGAGAAGCAAGAGAAATCTAAAGGGTCTGAAGAAAGGATGAAATCCTCTGAAGAAGATATCAAGAAATGTTACGAAATGGCTCTTAGAAAATGCTGCAATGATATGACCTTTAAAGGAGAAAACGAAAACGTCTTTGGTTCCATAAAAAAAATGAAAGCGGACGAAGTATCTCTGAAATGTGCGGAATTGAAAAAAAGGCTAGCAAAGTTGCGACAAAATAACGAAATTCGAATTCGTGGAAATGAACATCACAAGAAGCTAGAAAGATAAAGCTTTGTCGATTTGTAGATTTTTCTAAGTCTAATCCACTGCCAGCTTTTTCCCCAGCAATAAGACACCAACATTTCAGGAATATCGATGACCGGGATAGTCTCCCAACTAGTTGTGAGCCTTGGCACCAGTTTCTTAGGCAAGATGACAACTTTAGAACAGAAAATGTCAATGATCGTCAAGAGCACTAGAGTCCAGTTGGAGTCCAGGGTAATTTTTGATTTGGAGTAAGTTTCTTTAAAATCGAGGTGACTTGGTCTTAAGGTTTCTTATCACATAGGCACCCTGGAATGCTTCAACTGGGCGCCAGTTACCTTGACGTTCGCTGCCATCGTCTGGGCCGTTCTGGAAAGTCATCAAGGGATGTCGTTGTCGGTTGTCGTTTGGTGCTTGGAGTGATGATGTGTGTGGGCTGATGACGGAGGACTTACAGATTTCGGTGGGTAGACTCCCGACCTCACATCTCCCGACCTGCCTGTAATTCTGCCTGTTTTGCTCCATTATTTGAGATCGAATGCGGCTGTCATGTTGTCATGAGATTTCTATCATTTTGATTACTTTTATATTAAAATCTCCCGTAACTGCCCCCACGAAAACTTAGCCTTTTGGTTTTTTTTTTAAGTGCAACCATCAAAATTGTTTGGCGCCCTGAAGAAATCAGCCCCAGCCTTGGTGTCACCGCTCGGCATGCTCCGCCGGTGCATCGGCAGGCAGATG